ACTTGATAGAATGTACAGAGGCAGTTGTCCGGGTAGTGCGTGAGGTGAGCCAGGGACAGAAAGTCGTTTGTGTGGTCCTCAAGAGAGCGTTCCCCCTGCTCCAGCAGGAGGATTTGGAAGGCAGGGTAATCCATAACATAAAAAAATAAAAACTGACAAAAACCGTAAAAACAAACGAGGGGAAAGACGCCGCTATACTTTACATAGGGGTCGGTTATTCTGTCACGGTCACGGTGTGTGGAGATAGGGCAGATAACGAGGGGCAGACAGGTGAGCACAATGAGGTGATTAACTAATAATTAGTACGGGCTAAACCAACAAAAGGGTAAGAAACCACAATAAACAGTCCACAGGGGCGTTGCAGGTATAGTTATTGGCGACTCAAATTATGCTATTGTGACAACGTAATATACTCAGTCTTAACATATCAAAAACATACAAGATAAGAACAAACGTGTTAGAAGCAAAGCTCTTCTTCTGGTGCTGTTTCATGTCAAAATTCCCTCTACACAGACCTGAAGCAACATGGTGTCTTCTAAAGCCTGAGTCTATCTCCTGCTCACAGGCCTTTTTGTCTCCATACACAAACCTATGCAAGTGCAGCTGGGTCAGTGGAGCTCAAACCATTGAGCCATTCATCACAGTTGTCTGCAATTGTTTGGGAAACTGGCAGCCATCCTGGCTCTTGGCACAAACCGTTTGGCCGGAGCCAAAATGGCCCCTAGCAAATCACACATTACTAAAGAGTTTCTGCATTTTCTCTCTCTCTCACCATCAGCACCATCACAGAGCAACATATTTATTTTTCCCACCAAGGCATTTGTACAATTTAAATTCAGTGTGTAGAAACAACAGGATATGGAGTGTCATTACGCTTGATTGGATGGGAGAAATTTAAAGGATGGTGAAGAAAAAAACAGCAGGATACACATGTAGTTAGAGCAATCATAAGTTCATTTACTGTAATGTTTAGAATGGCTGCTTTAGTGAATACTCCTCCATGGAGCTGCATCCCCTTTGAGAATTGGGTTTGTAGCTAACAGGCACTGAATTCAGAATAAATCAAAGCACAAGTCATACCGGCAAACATAATTCAACACACTGAAGGAAGGCTGGGGAAAAAAAGTCTGATGAAATATGAAGAAATTACTTAAATGACCTAAACAAACTTTACAGTTTGAATAAACTTTTAGACAAATAATTTGCTGTATTATCTATCAAGCATAATGACATCTGTCTGGTGAGATATGCGCTAGTATTATAAAATGTAAAAAAAATATCTACACATAAATATATATTTTATATACAAAATAACATATACAGTTGAATTGTTTGGGTTTGGAAAAATGTTTTTAAAAGAGTCTTTTACACTCATCAAGGACACATTTGATCAAAAATACAGCTGAAATATTGAATATTATTGTGAATATATATAGGGTTGGTAAGATTTCTTTAATGTTGTCGAAATAAGTATTTTACATGCTCACCGAGGCTGTGTTTATTTGACAAAAAATAAATAGATCATTAAAATGTGTATCATGAATTGTAAAATACTGTGTTTAGTTATTGATGGCCCTAAAATACTAAAACTAAACTAAAACTTAATGATAGTGAATCTAACAAAAACTAAAGTAAATTGAAAAAAGAAGAACAAATCATAATAATAATATTGATAAATATTATGATTAATATTTTAATTTGCATATATTTTAAAATATGCTATTTTTATTCAATAGATGGAAAATCTAAATCAAAAATTGTGAAATGTTGGTATAGTTATTGGCAACTATTGTGACAACACTATCACAATATACTCAGTCAAAACATATAAAAAGCATACAACATGGACAACAAACATGTTAAAACCAAACCTGTTCTTCTGGTGCTGTTTCATGTCAAAATTCCCTCTACACAGACCTGAAGCAACATGGTGTCTTCTAAAGCCTGAGTCTATCTCCTGCTCACAGGCCTTTTTGTCTCCATACACAAACCTATGCAAGTGCAGCTGGGTCAGTGGAGCTCAAACCATTGAGCCATTCATCACAGGTGTCTGCAATTGTTTGGGAAACTGGCAGCCATCCTGGCTCTTGGCACAAACCGTTTGGCCGGAGCCAAAATGGCCCCTAGCAAATCACACATTACTAAAGAGTTTCTGCATTTTCTCTCTCTCTCACCATCAGCACCATCACAGAGCAACATATTTATTTTTCCCACCAAGGCATTTGTACAATTTAAATTCAGTGTGTAGAAACAACAGGATATGGAGTGTCATTACGCTTGATTGGATGGGAGAAATTTAAAGGATGGTGAAGAAAAAAACAGCAGGATACACATGTAGTTAGAGCAATCATAAGTTCATTTACTGTAATGTTTAGAATGGCTGCTTTAGTGAATACTCCTCCATGGAGCTGCATCCCCTTTGAGAATTGGGTTTGTAGCTAACAGGCACTGAATTCAGAATAAATCAAAGCACAAGTCATACCGGCAAACATAATTCAACACACTGAAGGAAGGCTGGGGAAAAAAAGTCTGATGAAATATGAAGAAATTACTTAAATGACCTAAACAAACTTTACAGTTTGAATAAACTTTTAGACAAATAATTTGCTGTATTATCTATCAAGCATAATGACATCTGTCTGGTGAGATATGCGCTAGTATTATAAAATGTAAAAAAAATATCTACACATAAATATATATTTTATATACAAAATAACATATACAGTTGAATTGTTTGGGTTTGGAAAAATGTTTTTAAAAGAGTCTTTTACACTCATCAAGGACACATTTGATCAAAAATACAGCTGAAATATTGAATATTATTGTGAATATATATAGGGTTGGTAAGATTTCTTTAATGTTGTCGAAATAAGTATTTTACATGCTCACCGAGGCTGTGTTTATTTGACAAAAATACAGTAAAAACAGAAATATTGTGAAATATTATTATAATTTAAAACAGTTTTTTTTTCAATTGTAGTATATCTTAAAATTTAATTTATTCCTGTGAAGGTAAATCTGAATTTTCCGCATCATTACTCCAGTCTTCAGCGTCACATGATCCTTCAGAAATCATTCTAATATGCCAATTTGGTGCTCAAGAAACATTTAATATTATTATCAATCCAAAAAATTGTTATGCTGCTTAATATTTTCGTAGAAACATGACACTTTTAAATGGACTCTTTGATGAATAAAAAGCTCAAAAGAACAGCAGGGATTTTTCTTTACCATTACTTTTGTTGAATGTAATGCACCCTTTTCTGAATAAAAGCATGGAAAATATTACTGACCCAAAACTTTTAAATGGTAGTGTATGTATATTTGAGACCCACCAAAAGCAATAAACAAATAAGCAAAACAATAAATAAACCTATGGCTTGAATTCATTCAGTAAGTTAACATGCACATGAGTGTGCTTGAGTCTTTATATACTGTATATAGAGTCAGAAAGTGACGTATTGATTTTGAGAGCACTCTGTGCCCTTCTGCCCAGGGGGAGTCTGGGTAGTCCTGGGGGCTGAGGTGTGCCACTTTACATCATTTATAAGGGTTATAATAAGCACACAGAGCTCCCTTATGACCCAAAACCCACCGCTCCTCTTTATGCTACCCTTTCACGAAGACCCACGGTCTTGCTATCCACTGAGACTGTGTGCAGTGGAGGCGCTTCACAGACAGGCCACTTTGAGGGGTCGAGATGCAGTTGAATGCTTTGGGTAACATGAACCAATGAAGCAGTTGGAAGTTCTACAGCTGTAACTTCCCAGTCCAGATCAATCATGGAGATAGATCTTAAGAGTACCAAAACTATGACAAGAACTTTTGCAGCTTATGTCCCTCACTGAACTAAGTGGAAACAATGTCCATTTTCAGTAGCCAGTAAGAAAGTTTATTTTTCTTTCCACACTGTAGACAAATAGTTTTTTTCTTTCTTCTTCTTTAAAGGAATACGTTCACTTAAAATGAAAATGTTGTCATCATTTATCCACCTTCAAATTGTTCTAAATATGCACATCCACTGAGACTGTGTGCAGTGGAGGCGCTTCACAGACAGGCCACTTTGAGGGGTCGAGATGCAGTTGAATGCTTTGGGTAACATGAACCAATGAAGCAGTTGGAAGTTCTACAGCTGTAACTTCCCAGTCCAGATCAATCATGGAGATAGATCTTAAGAGTACCAAAACTATGACAAGAACTTTTGCAGCTTATGTCCCTCACTGAACTAAGTGGAAACAATGTCCATTTTCAGTAGCCAGTAAGAAAGTTTATTTTTCTTTCCACACTGCAGACAAATAGTCTTTTTCTTTCTTCTTCTTTAAAGGAATACGTTCACTTAAATTAAAATGTTGTCATCATTTATCCACCTTCAAATTGTTCTAAATATGCACTAGTATCTTTCTTTTGTTGAACATAAAAGAAGATATTTTGAAAAACGTTGGTAACCAAAAAAGGCCTTTGACTTTCATAGTAGGTTTTTTTTCCCCCCTCCATACTATGGAAGTCGGCACCATCAACTGTTTGGCCACCAACATAAAAATCGATAAAAGTATAACAATATTTGTTAGATATCTGAAGTCATTTTAAGTTAACTAAGTCATTTATATGTCTCCTAGAAATGAGGAAAGTGTGTGGTTGGTATTTTTAATGTTTTCGAAGAAAAGAACAGTAAAAGAAACAGTAAAAACAGTATTATTGTGAAATATTATTATAGTTTAAAATAACTGATTTATATTGTAATATATTTGAACAAAGATGGATTTTCAGCAACCATTACTCCAGTCTTCATTGTCACAAGATCCTTCAGAAATTATTCTAATATGCTGATTTGGTGCGCAAGAAACATTTTATTATTATTATCATTATTATTATTATTATTATTATTCACAATGTTGAAAACAGTTGAGCAGCTTAAAATTAAATAAATACTTAATTATTATTTTGATACTTTTATTAGGATTATTTGATGAATTGAAGGTTCAAAAGAACAGCATTTATTTGAAACAGAAGTTTTTGGTAACATTACAAATACTTTTACTGTCATTTTTGATCAATTTAATGTGACCTTGCTGAATAGAAGTAATAATTCCTGAAAACACACACACAATTTTTCGTTTATGTCAAAAGTCATTACGATATTAAATAAAGATCATGTTCCATGAAGATATTTTGTTAATTTGCTACCGTAAATATATCAAAACTTAATAAATTGTATTATTATAATTTATTATTATTATTTCTATTTTTATTTTTATTTTTTGCAATGCACAATATGTACTATATTTGTACAGAAATCATTCTAATATGCTGATTTGGTGCTCAAGAAACATTTCTTATTATTATCAATCTAAAAAATAGGTTGTGCTGCTTAATATTTCCATAGAAACCTATTATTATTTTGTAAGTTTCCTACCGCAAATATATCAAAACTTAATAATTTTTATAATATCTTTATTATAATCTTTAAAAAATTTTTTTAAATGTATTTATTTTTTGCTATGCACAATATGTACTTTATTTACCATGTTCAAAATATAAAACTAGATTTCATCAATAATGCCATATTCTTATAAACAAGATATGTGCCTGGTTTTCCTTTCCAAAACTCAGCCTTAATGTTGAACAGCAGAAGACAGTCCAAGGGTCATGTGGATCAGATCGATGCTCTTTTTCCTAGCACCGCGATTAAGTTGCTCATGTCAAACATTCTGTTTTTATTTGGAAAGAGAAAGATAGAGAACAAGATATAGGGAGAGACCGTGCAAACACGGGTCTGATAGGACTCAAAGGGTCCGCCTTTGTTTCATTAGATACAAAATGTCAGACATCTGCTGCATCTGACACACGGGTCTGCGTTGCACCACAAACGTGCACACACTTCAGCGAGAGCCGCTGACAGCAACCGCAACAGCCACACAATTAAATGTGTGGACTGATAAGGCTATAGATGCCATGAAAAAACACACTCTCCCAAACAGAAGATGACTGACACTTCTATGAATGCAACATGCCAGGAAGTTTTGCAGGAGCACAGACTGACAGAAGTGAATGGAAGAGTGACTTTAAGCCATCAGTCGGCTTATCTAAGACAAGAAAACACGGAGGAAAGCTCAGAGAGAGATCTGTGTGAGGAAAAGACAGATAGGAGAATTGTAGTGATTGACTATATACTGTAGGGCTGCTGAGATTGCCCAGTGAATTAAGAAATTATTTGTGGTTTGTGTTCACTTTAAAATAACGGACAGACAGGTGATGGATGGACAAGATATGTGAAATACTGTGAAATAATCTAATAAAGTCCAACGTGACATTTTATACATCTTCAGTCAAAAGAGAGCCCTCTGGTGTTACTGGTGAAAGATGCACTAAAATTTCTGACCAGCCAATTCAACCTTTTTCATGTAAAATAAAACAGCATAATTTCAAAGATGAAATGAGCCATTTCTGCTCCACTAGCATCTCTAAACACAATTGCAAAAAACTGTTTTCAAACAGGTTTCATGAACACTATCCATCTGTCATAGGTCAAACATACAGATAGCCCCGCCCTAAACTCACACCATTGGCTGAGCCAGAATCGCTGTTGTCGGGCAGGCTAGTGTGCTCAAACAAATTAAGGTTTTGATAGCGAAGAGTGTTGATTTTGTTTACAAAGCCTAAACCTGAAGCTAAAACCATTAAACATCATTTTCAGTAATTAAAGTAAAGCTGAAATAAAATAAAACAAAAAAATTGATGAAAAACATAACCCTTGTGTTGTGTTTCATTCATTTTGACCCAAAGAGGATTTTCTTTTCCCCGAAAATGCTTGTTAATCTTATGACTTTGGACTAAAACTGAGCGTTTTTCCTCACACAGGGCACAACGACTCCTGTGACACTGAATATATTGTGAGGGGAAAAAAGTATCACATTTGTTCTACTTTTTGGGAGATTAACACAAAAATGGTCTGCTTGGACAAAGTACTAGTGAAAAATAAGGAGAAAGTATTTCAACAGTGAAACAAAGTGACACACATTACGTTTAAAATACAAAACTAGGCTGCAGTGGTTAAAGTTCAGAGCTGGTAATCAAAAGGCAAAGCACTTAACCCCAGGTTGCTCCAGGGGGATTATCCTATAATAAGTGTATTTTTAGTCTTTTTGGATAAGCACATCTGCTAAATGACTCCTTAAATTTAAACTACACTATTATTGCTTAAGCTAACACAATGAGGCAGCTCTGAACAAAATGAATGTCTCTTAATAAAGAATATGCTGGCTGCAGTCCGAGTTTTTGTACACCCTGTGCAATCCTGGCAGCGTCATTGATAAAAGGTGATGATCTAAAGTGAAAGGCCCAACAAAATGACTGGGCACATGTTCAAAATGGCTATCAGGATCTGAAGGCTTGAAACAACCCATGGTTCTCCACACAAGCTTAATAGAGTGTAATTGAAATGTAATGAATAATTA